CTGAACGTCTTCCAGGGTTCCAGCTGGAAAAGAATGAAAGTTTTTTTCTTTCAGTACTTTAAAGATTTCTTTTCACTATCTTCTGACTTGCATAGTGTCTAATGAGAATTTGATGTCATTCTTATCATTGTTCAGTTTTTCCCTTTGGTTACTAATAAGATTCTTCCATCACTGGTTTTAAACCCCTGTTTTTTTTTTGGGAGGGGAGAGGTTTTTGCTATAGGGTGCGTGCACCTGCCAGAAAGACAGAGAGAGGCAGGGAGACAGAAAGTGAGAAATCACCCCCCAGGGGGGATGGCCACGCCGCAATCTCTTCTCCTCCATTCTCCTCTCAGGATCTTGGTCACGCATGCACACGTGCCTGGCGTGAGTTTAAGCCGCCGGGTCTGGGACGTGAACCGTGGTCAACTACATGGGAGTCCAGCCACATAGCCATTATTCTAACTGCTGGTCCCTGGTTTTCAATCATTTAATTATCATGTGCTTTGGAGAGTTTTTGTTTCTTTATTCTGTTTGCTGTTCATCGAAATTTGTGGATCTGTAGAGACACATTTTTCATCAACTTTGGTATATTTTCACCATTTTCTTTCTTCAGATATGTTTTCTGATATCCTTCCCTTACCATGACTCCAATTACATGCATATTATACTATTTGATATTGTCCAACAAATGACTTATAATTTTTAAAAAAGTCTGTATCTCCCATTTTTTTTTTAAAGGTTTCTGCTATAGGGCACATGCATTCGCCAGAAAGACAGAGGGAGACAGACAGAGAGACAGAAAGCGAGAAATTACCCTTCAGGGGAAATGGCCACACCATAATCCCTTCTCCTCCATTCTCCTTTCAGGATCTTGGGCACACACGCACATGCACCTGGTGTGAGTTTAAGCCACTGGGTCCAGGACTTGAACCATAGTCAGCTAAATGGGAGTTCAGCGACATAGCCATTATACTAACTGCTGGTCCCACTATTTTAATTTTCTTTAGCCTTAGTAATGTTGAGCATTTCTTCGTCTGTTCATTGGCCTGTATATTTGCCTTCTTTTCTGAATTGGATTTGTATACACTTTGCTTACTTTGCTATTTCATAATTTTTCCTTAATTATTGATTTGTAGGTATTTATTTATTTATCATTAAGTGTGTGAGAGAGAGAAAGGACCCCTCTCCCCAGTGTGGCATGGTCACCATAATATCTTCTCTCCCTCTTGGGGTTTGGGGGTGTATGCACACGTCCATGTTGTTTTTTAAGCCACCGGGGCTGGGGTTCAAACTACATTCAGCCTGTGGGAGCCAGCTGCCTTCATGGCCAGCCTGACTTACAGGTACTTTTAAAATGTCCTTTTTGATACTATTCATTTGTTTGTATTATTACTTGCAAGTATTTATTTCAGTTTGTAGCTTACTTTTAGTTTTCATCTATGGTGTCCTCCCCTGAGCACACGCATTTTTTTTTTTTATGTTGGTGTGTTCAAACTTTTTAATCTTTTTTTTTTATGGTCTTCATTTTTTATATAAGTCTCTTATTCTAAGGTCGTAAAAATAAATATCTGAAATTTTTATTACTTTTTTATTTAGCAGTTATGGTTTTAAACATTTTAGAGTTTATATTTTATGAATGTGAGCTAGAGATCTAATCTCACATTTTTCCCTGAAGAAAACCGGCTGTTCCCTTCTTACGTGCTGGCGGCCCGTCCTCATTACATGTCACGACTAGCGATTACCCACCGCGACCCAGGCTCCACGTGAGGCACCTCACATGGCTTTCCTTGTCCTCTTATTCTCCCCCCCACCACTACCCATAAGGAATCGGTTGGTATTATCTCCATTTTTCAGTGGGGGAAAACTAAGGCTTAAAAAGATTATATGACCTTGGGACCAGCAGTTAGCATAATGGCTGTGTTGCTGGACTCCCATGTAGTCAACCACGGTTCACGTCCCAGACCCGGTGGCTTAAAACTCACGCCGGGCGCATGTGCGTGCGTGTCCAAGATCCTGAGAGGAGAATGGAGGAGAAAGGGTTGCTGCATGGCCATCCCCTCTTGGGGGTGATTTCTCGCTTTCTGTCTCTCTGTCTGTCTCTGTCTGTCTGGCGAGCACATGTGCCCTATAGGGAAAACCTCTCCAAAAAAAAGAAAAAAAAAAGATTAAATCACCTTGTCCAAGGTATGACATCTAGCAAATGGCAGAGGCAAAATTGGAACCTGATTATATTTAGAAAGACCAAGAGAAGAGAGCCTGCGTTCTTCAGAATGATGGCCTGGGCGGTGTGTGTGTGTGGGGGGGGACACAGACAGGTAGGACGGGCTTTCTCAGCTTTGTCCCATCGACCTCTGGGCTGGATAATCCATTCAGTGGTGGTGGGGACCGTCCTGTGCAGTGAGGATGTGGAACACCACTCGGGGTCTCTGTCCACTAGGCACCAGTGGCACCTTACTGCCCCTCCACTCCTATTGTGATAATAAAAATATCTCTCTAGACACTGCCAAACGTCCCTCGGGGGAAGAATTGTTCTCTGTTAAGAGCCATTAAGAGCTATTGTTAATTACCAATATCATCAATTATTAACCATCATCACTGCTATTGATATTGACACGAATTATCAACCGTGATTGATGGGAACATTATCCTTGGGCTGTTACTTCTTTGTAGCTGAGTCAGAAGGTTCTAGCTTTCCCTATAAGTTACACCTTCTCTGCTCTTCCAGCAGGGTCCGGTTGTTAGAAAGAGGGGGCGGGGGGGGGGGGGGGGGGGGGGAGACAGACAGGTAGGACGGGCTTTCTCAGCTTTGTCCCATCGACCTCTGGGCTGGATAATCCATTCAGTGGTGGTGGGGACCGTCCTGTGCAGTGAGGATGTGGAACACCACTCGGGGTCTCTGTCCACTAGGCACCAGTGGCACCTTACTGCCCCTCCACTCCTATTGTGATAATAAAAATATCTCTCTAGACACTGCCAAACGTCCCTCGGGGGAAGAATTGTTCTCTGTTAAGAGCCATTAAGAGCTATTGTTAATTACCAATATCATCAATTATTAACCATCATCACTGCTATTGATATTGACACGAATTATCAACCGTGATTGATGGGAACATTATCCTTGGGCTGTTACTTCTTTGTAGCTGAGTCAGAAGGTTCTAGCTTTCCCTATAAGTTACACCTTCTCTGCTCTTCCAGCCTGTGAGTCCTCACCCACCCCTGCCCGGAGAGGAGCTCTGCCTCACCCTGAAAGTGTGCAGAGTGCCATGCGGTGTGCCCCATGCAGTGTTCACAGCTAAGCTCGTGAAAATACTTGTGTAAGGTTAGGGGGATTTGGGGCTTAGGGTGGTTTAAGTTTTATTTTCAAAGTACTTGTCTTTAATATTTCGTTGACAATGAATAAAAATGAGACAATAAAGCCCAGCTGATGTAAAATGATTCCTAAATCCAGATGTGGCAGGGGCGAAGAGTTTTTCACATTCATGACACGACTCGGGCTGTAAACAAGGCTGATGTCCCAGCGTCCGGCCCCGCACCCGTGCGAGCAGACAGCTGCACCTGACATCAAGACTTGTCAGCCGCTGGGACTCTCAGGGCCTTGAAAGATGAAATCTGCTTTGAGATTCCAAAATGCTGTGCAGATTCAGGGTCATTTTAGAACTCTGCCTTTAACCCGGCCAATTGAGATCTTACTTTTTGAAGTCTAACACTGTAATAAAAAATGGCCTGGCAGTAACTGTCGAAAAGGGTTTTAGCACCTGGTAAGTCTTCACTTCTGCGCTGTCTTGCTCTATCTGGGATGGCCTGGCTTCAGAACGCCATCACAAGGTCTCCAAGGAGCCTCTTTTGTCTCTCGTGCCATGAGGACGTTTGCAGAGACTCTTGACAAGTCCTCGCATGAAGTCTAGCACCTTCTCAGGCTCACCTCCCCCTCCAGGCTGGTCACCTTGCCGGGTAAAGTGACATTACCTGCTGCTGAAATGACACAGGCTTGACCAGCCCGTGCTGGTGCTTAGGGACTATTTCCGTTTCTAAGGTCTTCCCAGCCCTCCAGCCCCACCCCCCATGTCCATGGACCCTCACAGCTCTTAGCTCACTCTCCAGCTCTACAGGTGAGGCTAGGGGTACCAACTAAACTTGGGGCTCCCTGAGGGCAGGCCAAGGCCTCTGTCCTAGCTTCCAGATTCCCTCACTTTGGAGAGTCTCTCCAGTGTGGACCATCAGAGAAGTGGACTCAGAGGGGAAAAAAGGTGGTGGACTGGCCGGCATCCTAGTGGGTAAGGGGAGCGGGGTCCCACGTGGCTGCTCACAGTTTAAAAACTGGCCTGGCTTGAAAAACACACCAAGGGGGTATGTGTGCATGCCCCAAATGACAGGATGGAGGGATGGAGAAGGGACTGTGGCGTGACCAAGCCTCACGAGGGAGTGCCTTCTCCCTCTCCCTCTCTGCCTCTCTGTCCCTCTGGCAGGTGCACCGTCTCTCTGGGGGGAAATGGGTAAAGACAATTGGCCAACTGGAACAGGAAATGCCCTGGGTGGTCACCTCTCTGGGCCCTTGCTATTGGGACAGACACACAAGCAGATGTAAAGACAGAGTGGACAGGGTGGGGTGGGTGCTCGGCCCCTTCCTGCTGCAGACAAGGCGTCCCACATCAGGGCCAGGGCAGAGTCAGGCACGGTGTCCCAGTCCCGCAGTCCTGCTGCATATTCAGCTGGCTGGCTGTGCTCCTGCTTGCCTCCTGCCTATGCAAAGAGCTGCCTGGGCCGGGGAGGCAGAGGGCGTGGTGGCAACAGCAACATCAGGGGACAGCGGAGGAGGCCAGAGAGCCAGGGCACACTGAGGAGGCTGTCTGAGGGAGCTGTTGTTGAGCCCAGGCCATGAACAGGCGGATGTGGGGGGCCTGCATTCTCTGCTTGCTCAGCCCAGTACCAGTTGGGGTGAGTAGCCAGCTCAGACTCCCGCCTCTCCCACCAGGCTCCAGGTCTGGGAGCTGCAGGACCATTCTGGGGCCCATCTGGAGACAGGTGGTGACCTCCACCCTTCCCAGTGCAGGAACCTCTCCATGCCAACTCGGTGGTGGGCTGTGGCCGGGCTGTGGCTTGGTGGCTCTCTCCTCCTTTTCCCTCCCCAGGCCATCCTCACTGACTCTGGCACCTCTGGCTGTTTAAATGCCCTTCTGGGACTGAGTTGAACTGAGCTGGTCTCCCTGTGACCTTCTCCTCGAGCCTCTGTCTATCCCAAGACAGTGCCTACCCCCAGAAGTGGGGAGATGAAGTCAGGGCCTCTCCTCGCTCTGTCTATAAGCTGTGCATCCCTAACCTTCGATGGACTCCTCTGATAAGACTTCCAGACCCCTCCCCATCCCCCTGGGCTCCTTCACCCACACTCCAATTGGGATGTTTCCTTTGAGAGTGGCCAGGAACCGAATTGGGCCTGTGGAGTTAGTGGGGACCAGCTGTGGCATTCATGGCCTCTTCGTGGGTCGGAGAAGCTCTTGACAACCACATACTGCCCAGCGGCCCAGAATGCTAGAGCTTGGGGCACTGGGACAAAGGGCCCTCCCTGGATGTGCTGAAGTTTCCCAGCATTTTTTCAGGTGGGAATAAAAGGTCACCTGTCATTAAGAGTGACAGAAGGACCAAGAGGGACGTCCCAGACCGTAGGTGGGCAGCCCAGGCTGGGGGCTGGGTACTTCTCAGTACCCATGTGGACTGAGGTCTCCTTCCTTCTCCACTGCCTTGTCATAGGGTTGCCACCTCATGAACACCTGGCTGCACCTCTGCTAGGCACAGGCTCTGGGTTGACCCCTGGGATCACAGAACTAACTGTGTGACCCAGGGCAAGCTGCTCACCCTCCCTGGGCCTCTCTTGTCTCTTATAAATAAGAAAATCCTATCTTCTTGTTAGGGTTATGTCTTGAGTGGGAGCTTATCTGTCAAGGATTGGGCTTGGGGTACAGGACAGGTGACTTCTGCCCACCCTATCTGGAGTGAAGGAAGCCTCCCCTCTCACCTGCGTGGACTGGCAGTAAAAGCTGTATGTTTAGAAGGGGAAGTCATTCAGAAGCTGGTGCCAGTGTCGGAGCAGAACAGAATCATAGTTTTGCAGTGTGGGCGCCATCACCCTCTCACCCGGGACAAGCAGTGACCACAGACAACGAGGTCAGCGGGTACAGGGTGCTCCGTCTCCCGCCAGGAGTGGAAGAGGGACTAGGTCTGGGTGAAGGCGGCCAGCCTGACTGCTGAGCAGGAGTGATTAGAAGCCATGCTGAAAGTCCTGGAACAGTGCCTCTTTCCAGCTCCACGGCTCCATCCCGCCCTGCAGTCTCCACCTGACAGCCTGCCCTGGGCCCACACATCCAGGTCACTAGTTGGGCTTCCCTGAATTTCCCGCCATCTCTTAGGAAGTGTGTGTGTGGGGTATCTGTCCATCTTTTAGGTGTGTGTGTCGGGGGGCTGGTTCTTTTGGCCTAGGGATTCCCCATAGAGGCCCTGAGATGTCCCAGAAAGGGATGGGGCTCGCTGGACAGTGGAGGCGGAGTGGGACAGATGGCTGGCAGCTCTCCAAGCCCTGCAGGGTTACGGTTGGACTGACTGAGTCCTGTACAGGGCTCCCCCATTTGTGGGCACCATCTGTCAGGGGGAGGAGGAATGGGGCTCTCTCTTGACCCCTGAGATGCATCTGGGGTCCCTGAGGCCTGGGAGAAAGCTGAGATCTGAGCGTGGGGCAGCTGCCAAAAGGGAGACCCAGACGTGGGGTCCCTCCCATGTGACCACTGACTGTCCACTGTCCCCACTCTGGTGGTAAAAGCCATATTTTCTGACCCAGCCCCTGTCTCACATCCACCACACTACTTCCCGTGCCTGCATTTCTGTCAGAGGAGGCTAGTAATTAATTAGATATTTGCTGACGAGGTTCTGCTAGACACTGTGTGTGTGTGTGTGTGTGTGTGTGTGTGTGTGTGTGAGCATGGCCATGGGAAGATGCTTCCTAAGTACCCTGCTCATTTTCCCAATCCCTCGTCTTTCTGCATGCTGTTCTTTGTCCCAAATGCACACACATCACATGTGTGTACACAAGTGTGTGTCTATGTGTGTATATGTGTGTGTGCATGTGCACACCTGTGTGGGTTTTTCAAAGGCTCATTTCCACCCTGGTCCAGCTCGAATGCCACCTCCTCTGTCCCTGAAGAAGGGCAGTCCCCCCTACCCCGTTCCTGTCCTAGTCACAGTTGAATCAGATCTGTTAGGTCCACGCCCTCGCTCCTTGCCTCAACCCCTCCTCCCCTGAGAAACCCTTGGGGAGCAGAGGCCTGCGCTGACCACCACGTACCACGTCGGCGTGTGTGCTGTAGCTTTGCGCACGTGCAGGGTGCCCACTTTATGAACCCGGGTTCCCCCTACTATGTTTGGGCTCTGGCCTGATGGATGGCCACTGGGTTTGTCTCCGGTCTGCGGTCTGCGGCATGGGAGGGTGAGGTGTTAGGAATCCCTGGCTTTGATGCCTAGCTCCCTGGAGATTTTGTGAGGGGCAAAGTCCTGGGCTGCCAGGGCCTGGCATGTTGCTTTGTCCATGGCAGTTGGCCTCCAGCAGGCTCATGAGGCACATGTTCAGAGACTACTGCAGGATTTCCAGAAAACAGCGTGTTTTCCAGGTCTGAGATCATTTCATGTGGTCACTGGGTCACCCCGGGTGTGGGAAGCCCCTAGGGCTGTATGCTCCACGATTCCCCAGCCAGATAGGAGAGCTGTTATCCTTCCGTCTGCCTGTCTGCTGGCCCCCACCCATCCTCACAGAACACCCTGCTCAGCCACCGGGCACGCACCCGCCTGCCCACCCACCCGCTCACTGTGGTGTACCCATGCACCTGTCCGCGTATTCAGACATCCGTGTCCACCGTCGCCCCTCCGTCCCACCAGAGCCAGCGGTCAGGCGGTCACCGAGCCATCGCTCACTCAGGCGTGTGTCCGTCCGTTGTACTCATCCATGTGCTGGTCGCTCGGCCTCCACGCTCCCATGCACTAATCCGCCCGCTTACTCACGTCCCCTCGCCTGCCACCCCTGAGAGCAGAACCTCAAAGGTCAAAAGTCCAACATGGCTTTCAGAGGGCAAAAATTTAGAAACGGACAGAGCCTTTTTCTTTCCTTTTCTTTTCTTTTTAAATTAATTAACTAATTAATTTTTTTAGAGGTTTTTGCTATAGGGCGTGTGCTCTTGCCAGAGAGACAGAGAGACAGAAAGCGAGAAATCACCCCCCGGGGGGATGGCCATGCCGCGATTCTTTCTCCTCCATTCTCCTCTTGGGATCTTGGGCACGCATGCACACATGCCTGGTGCAAGTTCACACGCATGCACACATGCCTGGTGTAAGTTCAAGCTACCGAGTCCGGGACTTGAACCGCGGTCGAATACATGGGAGTTCAGCTACATAGCCATCACGCTAATTGCTGGTCCCAGCCTTTTTCTTTCTGGAGGCTGTGGGGAGACTGTTTCCTTGCCTCTTCTTGACTGCGGCCCCTCCGTCCACCGTAAGCAGCTGTGTAGCCGCGGGCCACCTCTAAACCTCGGTCTCTCGCTCCCCGCCCGTCCTCCACCGCCCCACTCTCTTCTCTTGCAGAATGTCCTGCTTCTCTTGTAAGGACCCTGTGGTTGTCCTGGTGGTCGCTGTCCCACCTGGATAACTCAGGACCTGTTCCCATCCCAAGACCCTTGACTCTGTCACACCTGCGAAGTCCTTGTGCCATGTAAGGTCACACATTCACACAATGTAGGTCGGGATTAGGATGTGGGCGCCTTGGAGCCGGTATTCTGCCTAGCAAGGTGGTCCATGCAGAACTGTCCCCAGGGAGCAGGAGTGCAGAACAGGGCATGGCCTGGGGGAGGAGCAGAGGTGTCCACCACAAGGAGGGGTCCTGACTGCGCCGTCTCTGCGGGGCTGTGGGGTGCTGGCTCTAACGTGTGTCAGAGCTCCCCTCCACACAGTGACAGGGACCTGCGTCTTCTTTTCCTCTCTTCTTCCCTCCTTCCATCCTTCTTTCCTCCTTCCTTCCCTCCCTCCCTCCCCTTCTCTTCCTCCCTTTCTCTCCCATCCTCCCATATCCTTTCCCTCCCTCCCATTTTCTCTCTCTCCCTCCCCTCTCATTCTCTCCTTCCCTCCTCTCCTCTCCATCTCCCCTTCTCTCCCTCCCTTTCTTCCCTCCCCTCCTTTCCCTCCCATATTCTTTCCCTCCCTCCCCTTCTCTCTCGCCCTCTCCCTTCTCTCCTTCCCTCCCTCTCTGCCTCACTCACTTCCTCCTTCCCTTCCTCAATCCTTCCTCCCTCCCTCTCTGATTTCCATACATAGGAACATCCACCTGACTTGCCTGTGAGCCCTGAGAGTGGGACTGTGTTAAGGATCAAGGGCACCGAGATGCATCAGACTTTGCTCCTGTCTTTGGGGCACTGGACCAGAGGACCTAGAAGGAGCACCCAGTTGGCGTGGCTCTCCTCTTTCCTCAGGTGCTGGGCCAGGTGCACCCGGAATGTGACTTCGTCACCCTGCTGAGAGAGGATGAGCGCGCATGTCTACAGGAGGCAGAGGGGGTGCCCAACACCACCCTGGGTACGCACTAGGAGGGAGGGGGGCTCCCCCGACCGCTCTCTCGGAAGGTGGCAGCCCTGTCCCAGCACTGGGTCCACCGCTCCCGTCTCCCTGTCAGGCTGCCCCAGGATCTGGGATGGGCTGCTGTGCTGGCCGATGGCAGGCTCCAGAGAGTGGGTCACCCTCCCCTGCCCGGATTTCTTCTCTCACTTTAGTTCGGAGCCAGGTGAGGGGTCTTGGGTACGGTGGAGGTAGGAGAGGTGGTGTCGCTTGGGGTGGTGAGAAGCCGGTGGGCACAGGGCAGGCTTTGGGGGTGGGCAGACTGGGTCTGAAAGCCAGCTTTCCTTCTTCTGGTGTGACTTCGGGCGTCGGTCGGCTTACTCTGCTCGCGCTCCCTGGACTAGAGAGAGCGAGAATGTGACCTTCACAGGAGGCCTGCAGAGGGGAGTGTGGAGGTGCCCGCCCTGGGCCTGGCCCAGAGCACCCCCCTCCCCCAGATGTTAGCAGAAGGGCTGCTTCCAGGGTGGGAGTGAGGCCTGCCCGACCATTACGACGCTGCCTTGATGGGGAAGGTAGAAGGGCACCTCCCGGCCTCTGAGTGGACAGACAGTCCCTCCTGCCTTCTGTCCTTAGGACGTGGGGGGCCAGCTCCTTACTCTCTGTTTCATAGATGGCACCTTGGAGGCCAGAGAGGGAAGGTTGCAGAGGGTTCCAGGCAGGCTGAACCTGCAGCCCAGGGCTCTGGAGGGAAGCTCACTCTCTCTGCTGCCAGGAGGGACTGTCCATGCAAACCCTGCTGGGGTCACTTGGTGGACTTGGGCTCTTTTCATACTTTCTGTGAGCACAGACTCTTGTCTTCCAGGCGTTGTGACGAGGGACTGCACCATCTCTGGCTGGTCGGAGCCCTTCCCGCCCTACCCTGTGGCCTGCCCTGTTCCCCTGGACCTGCTGGCTGAGGAGGTAAGAGGGTAGGAAGGAGGGAGGCCTGCCTGCCTGACTGTGTGGGTGGTGGACAGCACGGCTGCCATCCATTGCAGCCTCCGGGCTGGGACATGACGTGGGGCCCAGGGCAGTGAGGGGCCGAGGGCAGTGAGGGGCGGAGGGCAGTGAGGGGCCGAGGGCAGGGGTCTTTGGTTTGCTCAGGGTGACACATAGGCCATGTGCTTGGGAGGAGAGAGGAGGCTGAGGGCAGGGAGGGAGACGTGCTACCCTCCACCTCCTTGGTGAACCCTCCACCTCCTGCTGGGCCCAGGCCTCCAGGGCAGGGAGCTCTGAGGGTTCCAGAGGAACGAAAGCTCCTGGCAGCTCTGGGCAAGCCCCTTCCCTTCCCTGGTCCTCAGCCGTCGAGGACCTACATGTGCATGGCTGTGGTGGGGGCCACAGAGGGGGACTCCACCTGGGAGCGATCACAGAGATCCCCCCAACACCCCCACTTTTGCATTGGCTTGGCCTTTGCAAGGCCCTTCCACACCCACACTCCCCTTTCTCTCCTCCCTCCAGAAAGTGAAGCACCATCTGACCACTTTTCAGAACAGATTGAGGCAGGGGTGGGATGATGGCCTGGGTCCCATGGGAGAGGTGAGAGTGGGTCAGTGCCAGAGCCCCGGTCCCTTCCCTGCAGCCTCCACCTCTGGGTGCCGGGCTGGACTCTGCTGGATCTAGACACGGTATGGAAAAAGCTTTTCCCAGCCTGCCGGTGGCTGTCCCCAGCTGTCCCCTTTATTTGGGGACATTGTGTTCCCAAGCCGGTGAGCGAGCTGGATGTCAGTAAACAAGTTGATTTCCTCTTGGGCTTTTGTCATTCCTCAGGGACGGTAGAGGCCACCTCTGGCCACGGCCCCTCCCTTGCCAGCAGGTCAGGCTGTAAACAATTGCCTCAACACGTTGAGGGAACGTTCCCGGTACCATGGACACCTCTGCCCCCAGACGGAGTGTGGGGAGGAACGCCCCGCCTGACCACCAAGCCTCCCTTTCCCCAAGGCCCTGGCACTGAGACTGTCTTCCATCTCTGCCCTTCCCAGAAATCTTACTTCGCCACAGTGAAGATCGTCTACACCTTGGGCCACAGCATCTCCACTGCGGTCCTCTTCCTGGCCATCGTTATCCTGGTTGCTCTCAGGTTTGCCATCTTCGTCACCTGCTCAAGAACCTTCATTGGCTCCCTACTGTCCAGAAGACCAGTCTGATCCCTTACCCAGATAGTCAAGAGTGTTCAAGATCTAGGCATCACATCCATTTCTAACTATTTTTTAAGAGGTTTTTGCTACAGGGTGCATATGCTCTTCAGAAAGACAGAGACAGAGAGACAGAAAGCGAGAAATCACCCCCCCCCAGGGGGAATGGCCATGGTGCAACCCCTTCTTCTCCATTTTCCTCTCGGGATCTTGGGCACGCACGCACACATGCCCGGCGTGAATTTAAGCCACTGGGTCCAGGACTCGAACTGCGGTCGACTACGTGGTAGTCCAGCGACATAGTCATTACGCTAACTGCTGGTCCCCCATTTCTAACCTTTATCTCCTTTTTCCCCAAACACATAGCCTTTCCTCTTCACACCCCAGAACTCACTCCTACCTCCACACCTTTGCCTGAATAGCCTCCTTTTTCTGAATGTATTTGTATCTCAGAATTCAAAGCCAAATTCTCACCTCCTTCTATGAACCCTCTTTGCCTCCTTCGTGGAGCCCTTCTAACTTGGCCTTCAAAGTCTGAGCCCCATGTCCGGCCTAAGCTGTTTTCTGTCTCAGGGGATGAGTCTCTCTGAGCTTCCAGGGGTTCCCATGCCCGATGCTGTCTCTGCCCTTGTTCCCTGAGATGAGGCGCCCCCTGGAGGCAGGCACTGGTACTGTCCTCTGTCCTTGCACCCAGGCAGAGCCCAGGCAGTGGCTGGGGAGCTCCCATGGAAGGCTAACAGGGACTCAGGTTCAGCGCAGTGCCTTTCAGCTGGGCTGGACTAGATTGACAGGATTGGCCTCAGCCCAGCCAGGCCAGGCGCCTGCAGTAGCCCACCGGAAGCTCATCTTCCCCATCCCTGCCAGGAGGCTCCACTGCCCTCGGAATTACATCCACACCCAGCTGTTCACCACCTTCATCCTCAAGGCGGTAGCCGTGTTCCTGAAGGACGCCGCCCTCTTCCACAGTGACAGCACTGACCACTGCAGCTTCTCCACTGTAACACCATGGCTGGGGGGGCACGGGGCTGGGTGGGGCAGGCAGTGGGGAGACTGGGTTAGGGACTCAGATATGCTTGCCTGAGCAGCTGTGTCTTGTGGGCTGACCCTGGGCTCCTGTGTGGTCAGTCACCAACAGGAGAGTGCCCCTCCCCCTCCTAGTTCTCTCGCTGGCAATCCATGCCTGTCCTGCAGTGCACTGTCCACTCCATACTTGGGGCTCCCCGTTCCCCCCATAACTCCATATTCTAACCTAGACCACGTTCCCCCATGCCCAGCTGCTCCTCTTCACATCACATCTCCCCTGTGCACGCACTGGTCCATGGCTGGGTGCATGAGCGGGGCTGGGTGGAGCTGGGTCCCTCCTTTGAGAACATGCAGGGGACAGAGCACACACAGATGGTGGAATTCCGAGCCTGGAAGAGGCCAGAGGCTTTAGAGAGGAGGTGGCTTTGAAGCTTGCACTTACAGGAAGACGGGAAGGGAGGACAGGCCAAATGGAGGGGCCAGTGGGAATAACCACTCCAAGACAGGAGAGCCTAAGGCATGTCCAAGAAATCGAGAAGTCATAAAAGGAGGAGAGGAGGGAGAATGAGGAATGCGGAGGCCCAGCACCTGTGAGTCCTCCAAAAGGGTGTTGGGAAGGCATAGGTAAACGGATGAACACACCAGCAACGGACCTTACTTAGTTCGTGAAAGAACTAATAACAGGGGCCAGCAGGTGGTGCGGCGTCTTTTCAGTGAGTGCACGCGCCCCATGGCAGAAAGCGAAATTAGTAGCAGTATATAGCTAGCGCCAGTTACGTGCAGGCGTTGCACCCCGTGCTTCACAAGGATTATCTTTTCTGTTGTTGTTACATTTTTGGTATCGGGCACATGTTCTCACCAGAGACAGAGAAAGTGAGAAATCACCCTCATGGAGGATGGCCACACAGCAATTCCTTTTCCTCCATTCTCCTCTTGGGATTTTGGGCATGCACGCACACATGCCTGGGATGATTTTCAAGCTCCCTGAGTCCAGACTCAAACCACTGGGTCATTTAGGTGGGATCCTGCTGGGCCATCTTTTAAATGTTGAAAACAGCTTGAAGAAGAAAGGATCACTTTAATCCCCTTTGTAGATAGGGAGCAGTTGGCAGGCCCAGCCATAGTGCTGGGACCAGGATGGACCTGGCCAACTGAGCCCAGGGCTGGTCCTGCCCGCCCTAGCAGGTGAGCAAGGAGGCACAGGGGGACAGGTGCTGCACCGGAGCCTGGAGTGTGTTTGCAGGACCGAGCTGAAAGTGAACAAATGTGGTTCCATGTGGGATTCGCTTCAGTGCAGGAAGAGCAGATGGCAGTGAAAGGAGTAGCAACTCCGAGGCCGAGTTTCCATTTAATCCCCACGACAGGGATGCGGGACGGGTGTTTGGAAGTTTCCCCTTTCACAGGGGAAGCTCAGATGTGAGAGTTGCAGAGCTCGCAGACAGCAGACCAAAGCCCACGCAGTCCGGGTCCCCACCTGTGCTCTCTCCCATCACATTATCCTACCACTTCCCCTCTGGGGTGCCCAGGGAGTAGATGGCTCAGCCTAAGGTGGAGGGGGTCTGCAGGTTCAGGGGTCGTGGGGGTAGGTGAGCTCTGAAGCCCCTGGGTCCTGGCCTCAGGTTCTGTGCAAGGTCTCTGTGGCTGCCTCCCATTTCGCCGCCATGACCAACTTCAGCTGGCTGTTGGCGGAAGCCGCCTACCTGACCTGCCTCCTGGCCTCCACTTCCCCCTGCTCAAGGAGAGCCTTCTGGGGCCTTGTTCTTGCTGGCTGGGGTGAGTACCCAGGGCTGGTGTGGGTACCACGGGGAAGGTAGAGGACTGGGAAGGTCCTGGGAGCCCATGCTAAGGCGTCTTCAGCCATAGATGGTGACTCTGAGACCCAGCGGGGGAGGGGCCAGCTGCAGTCCTACAGCAGGCTTGGAGAGAAGGCCCTGGTCCCTGGCCTCTGGCCTCTGGCCTCTGGCTCTCACTCGGCCCTCTCCTGCAGTGCCTGTGTGTGGCCAGTAGCTCTTAGAGCCGAGAATGCAGACCCTCTCACCCTGTCTCTGCTCCCCTCAGGGCTTCCCCTGCTCTTCACTGGCACGTGGGTGTGCTGCAAGCTGGCCTTCGAGGACACTGCGTGAGTCTGAGCAGCCCCTGTCACACCTGGACCAGGCTGGCTGGGCGTGAAGTGAATGGCCAGGCCACATGGTTGCTCCACAGGCAGGAAGAGGGGGAGGAGGAATCTTCGGCTGGGGTGGGGTGGGGTGGGGGTGGAGCGGAGCCTACAGATGATGCAGAGGAGAGCAGTGTACAGAGGGGTTCAGGGGAGATGTTGGGGGGCTGGCATCCTGGAACAGGGCAGTGTTGAGATCCACAAGGAGGCATCAAACTGGCAAATTCCAGGTGGACGGAAAGGATGGGACCAGTGAGGACTGGGACACCCCTTCAGAAGAAGGTCCTAGCTGGCAGAGACAGGAGAGAGGCCAGAGTCTGGGTGGGATGAGGCCAGAGGCCCGAATGGCAGAGGGGAACAGTCGAGGCAGTAGGCAGGAGGGAAAGGGGGGCGTCCGGGGTACTGCAGAAAGGCCCCTGTGCAGATTCTGCTCTCTCACATCCCTCCCAGGTGTTGGGACGTGGACAACAGTTCCCCCTACTGGTGGATCATCAAAGGGCCCATCGTCCTCTCTGTTGGGGTCAGTCCTGGGGCCAGTATCCTTTGCTTTAGTCAGCGACCTTCCTGGATTCACCAGAGGCTGTGCCCAGCAGGAAACGTGACACCATGCTGGGCGCTGGGAAACCTGGGGTGGGGTGCAGCCTCCCTCTGAGCCTCTGTGAGACCCCCTCTGGGCCTCGATAGCCTATGGTAAAAACCAGGTGTCAGGGGAGTGTCTGTCCATGCCCAGGCCCCTGCCCCCTTGCTCCCACTGCTAACACAGAGGCAGCAAGGACTGCTCGGCACAGTTTGGGTGAATGTGCGGTTTTTGCCGATGAGCCATTGTGCAGTGAGGGAGCCTGGCTGTGTGCCAGCGAAGACCTTGGGACATGGCTGGAGGCGGGTGGCAAGACCTGACCCTCCTGCCCTTGCTGCTAGGTCTGGAGAGGGAGGGGGCCGGCCCCTCCCCTGCCCCTCCGCTGCCCCCAGGCTTGCAGTCGGGCCCTCCTGGTCTCAGGGTACACATTCTGGAGCCATGGGCTCTGCACCTACATGGCCCTGCACCTCCCTGCGTCTGAGAATTTGGGGCCTTCTGCTTCCCAGAACATCTAGGGCCCCACCTCAGGGTTCCTGGCTCCCCTGACACTCTCCTTCCATCTTCCTGCACCTTCATTTCCAGGTGAACTTTGGGCTTTTTCTCAATATTATCCGTATCCTGCTGAGGAAACTGGAGCCAGCTCAGGGCAGCCTCCACGCCCAGTCTCAGTATTGGTACGGGGTGTGAGTGTGTGTGGTGTGTGTGGTGTGTGTGTGTGCCTCACTCAGCAGG